AGGCACAATACCCTACCAATTGTCGTTGCTGGTTCCTGGAAGCTAGCAGAATCGTCCACGTTTACCTCCCTGTTCGGCTCACATGGGTAGTAATAGAGAGTGCTGGGATCATGATATGGAACGCGGAGAAGGACCAAGGCGAGGCCATTGGTTATATAAGAGTATTCAAGTCCTTCCTGGATCATCACATGATATTCTTGAGCCAAGACCGAATTCGCTAGCTGTTCCGCATTGTATATTAGCTTTTGATTCTTCTCGACAGGGATCTCGTTTCGATTCACGACTTCTTTCCAAAACTCCATCGGCCGTAGACCCTTTCGGAGGTGCTCAACAGATAGCTTGTGCGGCGGCTTATACTCCACCGTGGTGAGCAAGATGTTGGTGGCGCCATCAACTCGATGGATACAGAATTGATCTGCCCTCGGATGTCGTGAGCTCGATATATCCAACACTCCTTCATCAGAATCTTCAGAATCGTCCAGAGTATGCGCGTGGTTGTCAAATGCAATCCCGTTGCCGAGCCGGAATCTCTCTTGGGCAGCTGGTATTTTGCACAGTTCCGCTATGATATCATGGACATGGTCTTCCACGGCAAAACGCTCGTAGCTCTCTAGATCCTTTTCACTTCTGAGCACTCGGCGAGAGAAACGCCGACTCAGGCCATGCAATTCGGCAAGGGATGCAAACAATCGAGCAGGTTCTCTTCCCCCTGGCTGTAGGTAATCACAGACAGTATTGTAGATCTCTCGCTGTTGCAATGGACATTCCGACCAAAGACGAAGTCGCGTTGGGCAGTATTTGCCAGTTGGAGCTGGAATATGCCCTTTTGTCGATCTAGTCGGGGTGCCGACTTCTATTTGTTGGGAAAACAACTCGTGGCAAGCTTGAACAAACTCTCGAAAAGCTGTCGGTTGGGTATGCGTTTCAGCCTTCCTGCGTAGTTCTGCTTCCCGTTGTTCTCGGTCTTCCGCCTGCTTGCGTAGCTCTGCTTCCTGCCTGCGTAGCTCTGCTTCCCGATGTTCTCGGTCTTCCGCCTGCTTGCGTAGCTCTGCTTCCCGTTGTTCTCGATCTTCCGCCTGCCGAAGTAACTCCTCTGCTCGCCGCAAAAGGCTCTTGTAATCCGGTGAGCTATCGTCAGCCATTAATGTGCACAATGGTTCGGTTCGACCCAGATTATGAAAGACGCGATATGAAGATCAGTCAGATGTTTTGGTTTGGAACGGATCGCGGATTAACTCAGATACCGTTACAACCAATAACTAGTGGATATGTAGTGGGTCTTACAAACAGTAACAAGTAAGGCTGCCACAAAAACAATGACCGTGAAAGACCACAATCCTATCATCTCCTTACTCAATGGGGTCGATTACCCCCACTATGCATCCTATCGCGGAGTGGTACTACGTACTTGTGAACTGTGGCAACAGCTTAGTAAGTCTCCTGTCTAGAAACACAGTGATGACTAGACTCTCTGTGATAACTAATTTGTAGGTGATATTACTAGTCGCCTAAGAGCACGCTAATCTCTGTCCTCCCTTGTCAAATGCTCAAATATGGCGGTCTAATTTCCACGCTGTGCAGGCGCCCTAGTATCTAGCATGTACTATACAATCTCGCATCGGCTTACCTACTCCACCAGTAAGGTTGGTTAGATAAGACAATCAGTACAAAAAACGACTTCTCAGTATATGACTTGCCATCACTCTCACCTTCCTTCAGCTACTGACGTTTTAGAATATTTCGCCACTGTGTTTCTGGAATATTCCCAGCAATGTGAGACACTTTATGAGTCATCCTTGCCGACTAACTTAGCACTAACTAGTTAGTTAGTAGATTGCAATTAATCGGTTGCTCAGCTATTGCACAAGCTCACTTATTTTCTTTATGTAGAGTATGCTAAATGTGACATATAAATGACTGAGTTCATCTTGATTTTGTCTGTCCTGTTCCTCAAGGTCACGTATATATCGTTGTGCTATCTCAAAATCAGGTTGACTGACACACTTTCGTTCTCGGTACCTGTAAATGTACAATTGGCTCAGTAAGAACAGGGCTTTCGGTCGCGTCCCTTCCCCTCAATACCGGTAAACAGTGGGGCTTCGCAAAATTAATACTTGATAATTCGTTGGGATAGTAGAATTTATCCGTGGGCAGACAGGACGTTTTTTCATCTGGTAGTAATGGTGTTCTCTATTGGTGTCGGTAACGTCCCTACTAACAACAAACGAGCCTGTTATCGACGCTGTATGGGATCAAGACAGCACGAGACGGGATCGTTACCGACACTGTATGGGATCAAGACGGCACCAAACGTGGTCGTTACACACACCGTATGGGATCAAGACGGCACCAAGACGGGGATCGTTACCGACATTGTATGGGAGCAAGACGGCATCAGACGGGATCCTTACCGACCCAGCACGTCGTCGATGGGACTTGGCCCTGCCTGCAGCTTGACTGAAAACTCTCAGCGGAGCCCATTTGTTGATGAGTGGCGTCGATTACACTCCGTAATAAGGCTCCGTACAATACCTAGGAGAATTATCGTAGATTGCTACTGGAAGCTACGGTCAAATAATTTCTGTTCAAGAGGTAAAGATCTTCCTATCAAACAGGTGGATGTTTTCGATTTGCTACTGCTGGCACTCAGGGGACTCACTCGTCGTAAGACGAACTTGGTATCGGACGTCACAGCGTGCCGATATCTCCGAAACTGGCACACCCCCTACCGACTAAAGTCCGGGCTTTATCATTTATCCTGTAGGCTCACCTGTCATTTGCGCGGATGGATTTCTAAATCTGCGATTATGAAATCTAGGTAGACGATTCTCCGATATAAAATTAGAGGATTTCCTACAAAGAAGTCCAGGGTTTCCGGCCGGCATAGCACTTCAGTCCAGAAACGTCGCGGTTCGTATAACAAGGACGGGATATCTACTGATCAAGCTAAACAAACTACTTCTAGACTTGAAAGTCCTCTTGAGTGGCATCCTGAAGAGTGAATTCTGCTGCATAAAATCCCATTCAATTGTCTATCCTGCTTTGATTCACTGAATCTCCTTTAGAGCTTCAAATACCCCATTGTAGCTACAGTTATAGTCTAAATTGGCCAGTCTCTCCTCCATGGTAATATCCTTTGCCATCACACGAGTGTCCTGCAGGACCTTTGAAGCCCGCGGCCGGCGAACATTGTCCACTTGCTTAAGAACTGCTTCGATTTCCGCATGGGAAAGGCCTGGTCGCAACAAGCGGAGACTGTCAGCATCCTCGATTGCCATGTTCGCCCCTTGACCCTGCAATGGGGTCATCGCATGGGCGGCATCTCCGATGACAATTGCGCGTCCTCGATTCCAGTTGGGAAGGGGGTCCATATCTTGGAGCCCCCACACTTTCACCTCGGTGGCGATACTGATATCATTAGCTTCAGAACCCATAAAAGCCGCAGGATACATACCTTAGAATCTTGCGTATAGGGTCGTAGTAGTCGCTAAAGACCCCAATCATTTCCCGGCGGTCGCCGTCTGCGTACCATGACTCCAGGACATTTCCTTTGTGATGGCGGGTGGGAAAGAGGCACGAGAAGTTCATGTACTCATAATTCCGTATAGCGTAGGCTGCAATCATACGGTTACTCCCATCCCCTGCCTGCAGCCCAGAGATGCGACATTCGGCTGTACTCGGCTCCCACCACACTGGAAGATAGCCAAGTGCTTTTTTAACGGCCTCAGCGGAGGTGGCAATCCGGTAGCAAGTCAACCCATTCTTCTTCGCCTGATAACTGTCACTGCCGACAATCCGGCGACGGAGACGTGAATGCACGCCATCAGCAACTATACTACAAAGTCAGATCCTTCTGCCTCCTGGGCTATCGCTGGAGAACTAGCCAATAACCACATCTGCTTCCACAACTGATCCGCCTTCCAACGTTATAGTAGCCTTCTCAGGGTCGATATCAATCACACTGGTATTGAACACCATCTGCGCCGGACTGCCTTGGATACCGAGCTCTTCTTCGGATGGGGCAGTTGCAAGTCGAAGAAGCTCGTCACGGAAATCAGACCGCTTCATGCTCAGAGTATCCGCCCCGTACCGCCCCTTGAAGTCAATTGGGAAGTCTTGCAATTGAATGCCATTCGTGTCAAACAGCCGGTAACCGTAACATGGCACTGCACCAGCACGACAACGGTCAAATCCCATGGTTTGAAGGATCTTCACCCCGTTGGAGAACAGACAGATACCCTGTCCACCGGTGGCCGTATCTGGACCGCCGCGCTCGTAGACGGTGACATCGTGATGCTCACGAAGGATCCGGGCCGCAGCTAGGCCTGCCAGACCAGAGCCGACAATGATAATGCGAAGCTTTTCAGCAGTCATGTTCCCGGGTGGTTTCCTCTTTGAGGATGGTGATAGTAGATAGGAACAAGATGGTGAGCGAGGATATGTGTTGAGAAGTCAGATTCAATTGCCTTAAGGATGTCGCGAGCCCTTCTTATAGTCAGAATTAGCGATACGAGCGGAGGGAACCTTATGGCGAGCACTTGATGTCCATCATCTTCCTCACAGTATCTCCAAAAAGGCCGACCTGGGATTCGGGATGTTCAGAGTAACCCTGCCACTGTCGTGGAACAGTATCGGAACGACGGTCTACGTATCGCCAGTGTGCACTATTATGTCTCAGTCAGGTAGTTTTCCTTCAACGAGACGAAGCTTCCGTTGATGCGTTTTATCGGAATCCTCGGGTTGTGCCCGGTGATATCGGGGGTCGGTGTTGTATTTCTGCACAATGACTGACAAAAGGTATTTGCTATGAGGACTATGGTATGTTGCGGACTGAATCTGCAGACCCATCTTCATCTTCCTGACATGCCTTCATAGATAGGACTGTTGCACATAGACAAATCCCTCGAAAAATCTCCACCAGACTTATGCATATCCAAAAACTAGCGTGAGCTGATACACTGCAAACATGACGCCTTTGAGGGGAACTTGCAAGCGGCCCATCAAGCCAACTCCATTTGTCTGTGGTGTTCATCCGCAGTAATTCGCACATCAGTGACGTAGTCCTTGAACTTGCGCAGGTTGATCCTCTTCTCAAATCTACAATACAGCTGTCAGATCCTATTGAAGGGACCAAAGAGGGCTGTCAATAAACGAGACTCACAACTCATCAATTTCACCTGGTGTGCGACGCGTTACCTCCGGAAGGATAAACCAGGCAATAACAACAGCTACGGTCCCGGTACCAGCAAAGCTATTCGCAACGATTAGTCTTTGTCCGCTGAAGCAACCAGGAATACGCACAAAAAGCCAGTCTTTGGGCCCCATTTGGTAGGAGGCTGATTGATCATCAACGGGGTACAGAAGCTAAACATGATGCTAATCATATTCGACGAAGCCAGAGACCAGGCGGCTGTCTGGGCGCGGAGCCGTTGCTGAGGGATCTCCGCTGCATAGGCGTATCCGATGGCGGACGCACCAGTCGTGGAGAAGGTAGCCAGACAGGCGAAGAAGATCTTCACCTCATCAGTATGCGAAATAACACGTGAAGTGTGAGCGAGGCTGGGCAAACGAACCAACAGAGAACTGAGTGCTGGCGACTTGTAGTCGAAGCAGCCAACGATGCCCAGGCACAGCACCGAGAGAACGGTTACGGCATAGGGATAAACCGTCAACGGACGACGACCGAGTTGATCGGTCAAGGTGGCTGTGGCGAGCATGGAAAGAAGCTGGACACAGGAAAGGATGACAGTCACGAGGAATGGATTCTTATTCCCAGCGTATTGGACTGAGAGGTCAGCTTGCGAAGCACGAACAAGGGAACAGCCTTACAGAAGTAGGTGGCGTAGGTGTTGAACACGGTCAACCCGACAAACTGCTGCGTGATTTTTGGCCATCCAGCAATGATGAACCGAATCATGTTTCGACCTTTGAAAATGGCCCACATGCCTTGCTCCTTGTTCCGTTCGGCGACGATTCGCTCGTGCGCCACCGTGGAAGTCATCACGTTCTACATGCGTTAGCCCCGCGCATCAGTACCAATGAGAGTAGACGGACAATCTGGTCCTCGATATTATAGCCTGGCACAGTACCGTTGCACGTCTTTAGAACCTTCTCTGCCTCTTGTATCTTCCCTTTGCTGACAAGCCACCAAGGGGTCTCCGGGACCAGGACGAAAATGATACCTGCAGCGCCTATCATAGCCCACTACTACCGATTAACCTCAGCTTTGAAGTGCAGAGACGCCTGACCGTGACTAACTTGAGTGTAGATGGGAGTTCGGAAATCATATGGATCCGTGGCGCTCAGCTTATTCAAAGCCACCGAGGCGAACAATTGGCCTACCACGAACCAGCTATTTGGGTTAATATCCTGTCCATGGACTCGAGATACTTGATAGGGAGTTACCGACAAGCTGTATGCATTGATGAAGAACCCTCTGAGCTGCGTTGGAGCAATCTCGGACAGATACAATGGCATTGTGCATTGGAGCATACCAACACCCATCCCCGAGAACAGCTTCGCGACGAGCCAGTGATACCATCTAGCAGAGAACGATTCTATCAGAACGCTCTGTTTGACTGTCAGAGTAACTTGAATCGCAGATGCCCAGTGTATACTCACCACCACGAACGTGAGCCAAATGATATACAGAGCTGGTTTTCGCCCAAACGCCTCGGTCGCGTATTGGAGAAGCTATTCCTCTTAGTACAGCTTGACTCTTTGCAAAAAGATGAGATCATACAATCTGGCCGATTGTCTGCCCAGTCGATTGAATTCCGCCCCAGGCTGAGATGTATTTGCCCGCTATGATGGCCGTATCAGACGTGGCCATTTGTCGGATGAAGCCTTTATTGGAAACGATGCCTCCGTTAAGATTGATTTCTGCCGATCAATCAATTTCATAGCTCTTCATAGCTTTCATACCATGGATCGGAACTTACGGTAACCATCCAGCGAAGCGCTGAATGCTGCGGCCATTGCAATCACACCAACCATTCGGTAGCGTCGCACCGACTGCCAAACAGTGAGGTCGTCCTCCTTGCTGCGCATCAAGGGGGCAGCTTCCTTGCCAGTTGCAGAGCCCGTCTCGGCGGGATGAGAATGTTCGACATTATTGACCTGCGGTTTGGCTATCTCAACCGATCGAGTCTTCTGCGAGTCCTTATCAGAACTCTTGATGGTCGTCATAGCGAACGACATAGCGAAACGAACAACAGACCTGCAGTGACCTGACCCCGAACCGGATCGTGAACCTTGCTGGGCAAATACACTCTTTAAGCATCTTCCACGCTGCATGAGTCCATGACTTGGCCGCCCGAATTCCCCGGAGTCCAGTCCATGCGGGGAACCCCGGATTTAGACTTGATGGGCTGGACAAATTGGGATCTCTCGTCTCAGCCACTGATTGCTTGTAGCCAGAATAACCCAAATCCTAATGGACGGGGAGAAATTCTCCACCAGTATGGTCTCTAGTGCTGCCGCTCATGGGATTTGATGGCTTAAAACAATTTCGACATGAATCACGTCTGCCAATAAGAGCACTACCTATTCCTGTTGCTTCAATCAGAAGAGCCAGTCAGAATGCAGAATCCCAGAGCTCGGTATAATGTCTGCCGAGATCAGAGTCATGCTGCATGACCAGGAAGCTTGAGCTGCTCAAGCAAAGGACAAGGTTTGCCATTGCCTGGGAGGAAAGATTATCTGTTGGATGGGATATTCGGCAAGTGCAAAAGACGGTAAATGAAAGGATTAGGTTGGTCGGCTGAGAAAATTCTCCGTGAGGTCTCAACTCGATTATGTTCATCTTCCTGAAGAAAAGCATAGACTGTACATATAAGTTGTACAGTCCAGAATAAGTGAATCAATCAGTCTCGAACTGTGAAGGACGTAAATATGGATCTCTTTCTCGCACCCTCTTGCTATGCAGCTACATTCCCATAGGAACAGCATTGACATTTGCCATCCCTTCCGCACCGTCGTCCAACAGACAGCTCTCAGCTGCAAGCTGCGGTGGTGACACGATTCTCGCTTCTGCATCAGCGACTGAATAGTCTGTCAACCACCATTGCTGCGGCGACTTCAGCGAAGAACAAGGTGAATTGCTATTGAGCAAGGTAATGACCCTATTTGTGGGAGATCCCAGTCTAAAACAGTCGATAACAAGGCCGTTCGTTGCATCCTCAGCCATGGGACAAAGGGTGGTTACCTTGGAGCCAAGTCAAAGTTCGTTCAGATGCAACATCGAATCATTCTGAATATGAACCTATTTTTAGTACATCTTCACATCGACACGAGCGACGGAAGTGGCGTGATCAACCCCGTATTTGTCCCCGTTCAATATCCACAAAGGAAAAGATCTTCGCATTTGGCCTCAGAATTGGCCATGCAAGGAATGACCACGGGCTAGTCAGGGACCTTGATCATCAGTGAGTTTCTCTTATTCATTTTAGACTGATCTCCAGCCTCGCAAAATGATACCCATCTGGCTAAGTAGTGCGCTTGAGCGAGATTAGAGATGACGATCCCCTCGTATACACGACCCACAGACGGGATGTGACGACTTCACTCGTATATCCTCGCTCGAGTTGTCTGAATCTCCTCATATGATTGAATGGTCTGAATTTGAAAAGCAACCCTCAGACGACGGTCGATTCGGCAGTTCGTATCAATCTGTATCTATTTTGGGATGTGAACATCGCAATCAAAGTCAATCATAGTGACGGCAAGACTTTGTGTAAACCGAATATATATACCAGCAACATCCTGCCAGAGTCAACAGAAACTACATCAAGACACTGAATACCATCACCTCCGCTGCAAAATGAAGTTCTGCATTGCTGCTATTGCCGCCATTGCTAGCCTGGCTTCGGCCCTGCCCAGTCAGCCCGAAGCCCGCGCAGCCACCGTCCAAGGCTTCGACATCTCCAACCACCAGAAGAGCGTCAACTTTGAAGCTGCAAAGAAGGATGGTGCACAGTTTGTGATGATCAAGGTTCGTTTTTGTTCGACCATCCCACAGCTCACGCAGCCAACATGAACTACAGGCCACCGAAGGCACGACATACAAAGACACCGTCTTCAACTCGCACTACACAGGCGCCACCAAGGCCGGCCTCCTCCGCGGCGGATACCACTTTGCCCGCCCTGATAAGTCCACCGGAAGCACGCAGGCCAAATTCTTCCTGAAAAACGGCGGCGGCTGGAGCAACGATAACCGGACGGTGCCCGGGATGCTGGACATCGAGTACAACCCTTACGGAGAGACATGCTATGGCCTCAGCCATTCCCAGATGGTCGCTTGGATCCACGACTTTGTCGACGAGTACCATCATGCGACGAGTCGGTGGCCCATGATCTACACCACTGCAAACTGGTGGAATCGCTGCACGGGCAACACCAAGGGCTTTGGCGATAAGTCTCCTCTGGTGCTGGCGGCGTATAGCAGCTCTGCCCCGAAGACGATCCCAGGTGACTGGAAGACATGGACTATCTGGCAGAATTCGGACAAGTATGAGCACGGAGGAGACTCGGATAAGTTCAATGGGCCCATGACGCAGTTGAGAAAGTTGGCCAGTGGTTAATTTTTAGACTTAACATTCCTGTCCTTGGGCTATATTCTGTATTACCATCTGTCGTGGTTCGTTTGAGTTTATAGAGATTTTTTGTGGCGACACTCACGTTGTATGATATTATTCTATGGACAAGCTCCAGCAATTGTATCTGATTACGCATCATTGCTGGTTCTCAAGATTGATTATGCCCCTTTTGGTTGACATAAGTATGACGGGAATGTGCCGTCTGCAGTACCATGTCACCGTGACCAACCTTCTTGGCTTGCCACAAGGGATATAAGCTTATGATTCGACATACCAGGCTGTGTCCCTGGCTACTGGCAAACAGCACGTCATGCTAGGATCATTCCGCGGCGCAGCATATAAGATCCATATATAAAGTGAACCGTCTACTTGCATTTCAGGGCCACTCTCTACTGCACTGGCACATCACGCGATAAGCTGTACTCATCTAATTCTCCTGTGGACACAATGCCTTCAAAACCAATCGCCGACCCTCCGCTTCAACCAAAGAAGGTGCACGGCGTGACCCGCGATGACGAGCCAGAGCCAATTGACGATTATGAGAATGCCATCCGCTCGAAGCAGCAGGAGGAAGAGCCCTCGGTCAGGGGCAATGACGCCCCCTCACATCTAGGAACGTCGACACGACATAAGGGCCCTCGGACTCGATCGCAGGGCTCGCGGAATCGATCGACCACGGGGCGTGTCTGAAACCGTGAGGACGCAGGATTGAGAGTACAATCAGTTCTATTGGCTGGACTGAAGGGAATGAGAGCATTCGAGTTTATCTCCAGCGAGGGGCTGCTGCAAGCTTGCAGTAGTTCCATTCACTATTGATAAAACAAGCTGTAATAGCCATAAATGCTTGCTAGAACAGGCTAGTCCAGCAATTCAAGGCAAGTAATATTGGCATACTTGGGCAGTTTTTTAAATGCGAGATGCTCTGTTCAAGTATAGCATCACGCAAGTGTTGATAGAGTCTCTTGCTAAAGGGAGTTCTAATTACTAGGATCCCAAGTGGACCAATATAATAATTAGTAAAATGCGCTATCTTCCACTATCTGACAAAGAAGCTGTAGGCCAGTAATAGTCTTTAAAAGCTGCTCTTCAAGTTAATCTCTCATAAGCTAAAACCCAGGCCTTGTAGTTTCAATTCTGGACTAGAGTTTGCAAAGTTACCCTTTCTTACCCTTACAACAACTATTTAACTTCTGGTGCCTTCCCATGGCGCTGGTACCATAAGATTTATAGTGAAGGTGGTCCAACAAAGTTAAGCAAGACTAATATATTACCTTCAGCTGACCTGTGTATATGTCTGAAAGCCCATGAAAACCCAACACAACCCGCGATTGGCGAGGTCCAATAGTGAGATCATGTGATGATCATCCTCGTCACTGGTTTTGCTTGTTTTCTCCCTCCAAACACCCGGTTCCATCTCGACTCACTCTTCAGTAGCTCACCAACACATTTTACAATGGCTGACGACCGAATCTTACATTACCTGCCGCCAGGATGGACGGAGGAGATGTATCAGAACCAGACTGACGCCGCCCTTGAAGCCCTTTCCGAACAGGTGCGTGGGTACATATGAATAAGAGCAAAGAAAGCAGAGAGATGCTGACATGACCAGGAACTACAAAATCTGATGGAGCGCCAGGCAGCCGAAGCCAAGCTCATCAGTGCGCAAAACATGGCCCGCATAAATGAGAGGCGCATCGCGCGCGGGGCTCCCCCAATGGAAATCCCATCGCCAGCAGCCGATGACGCCGCACCGGTCGGGACAGGAGAAGCTGAAGCAGACCAGACAAATTCAACAACTCTCGACAACCTGAAAACGCTAGTCTCGCTGGTCGAGGAGGAAGACTGGCCTGATTTCGGCTTTTTGGTGTTCCGCACGTATTATTCCGATGAGCCGCTCTGGGAAAAGTTCCTGGTCCAGTACGACGCGTTCCTCGATGAGGGGATAAGTGCTGCCCCGGCAGAATCCGGGATTGAGCGGATTCGCGACCGGATTTTCCTCAAGTTTGTGTCGGATGAAGCAATGGCGGGGGAGCCGCCAGCAAGGGTGGCGTATGCCTATCGCCTGTCCGCGGAGGAGATGGACGACGATGCTGAGGAGGACAGACTTGAGCCTGGTCTCCACACACGGATGTGCCTCATGGTCGACGAGGAGTGTATGCGTTCCGTCGTGAATGCCAAACCGGGGTCTCCTACGCCGTTCATGAAGGCGGTTGATGTCACCCTGGGAGAGCAGCGATTGTCGTACTCGGGGACTTTCAAGGTGGCGATCGCTTCGCTGATCACCAAGTTCTACCCCGCGCTGCTTGACTGTCAGGACACCTCGGATCTTGTGCCACCAACGGAGGATGCAATTTGGGGGGCGTGAACTACGAATCTCCCGTGATTGATGAGAAGGCAGACAGGTCATCTCATACACTACTCATGTAGATTGTTCAAAGTGAACCATGTTGTCCGATTTTTACAGGACACACGAAGCTACGTGTAAGAAGCATTGAAGCTACTACTATTTGATATCGTGCTCAGAAGCGTTCTTCCATGTGCAACCTGACTAAACCAGCACATCCATATTCTCCTCGAGCTTGCGCCCCTCATCATACCAACCCTTTATTCACTTGACCAATGGCTTCACGTAATCCAGGCCGTGAGCACTGTCAGGCTCGACAGCTTACTCGACCTGCCTTTTAGGTCTACGGCCGTTAGTATTGCAAAAGCTCTCTCCTATTAACACCACGGGGCACCTTCGCGCAAGGAACATACCTGAAACGATCTTGTTCCTCTGTAGAGACTTGTACAGTCCATACGCTTGACTGCCGCCCGTCCAGTTTGTTATTTCCTTGTCCACTTTAGCCTGGTAAAAGGTCTGCAAATTGTCATTGAACGCCGCGAAGAACCGCTGATACCACGTTTTGTGCAGTGCCGCAAAACTGACTCCCGGTCCAGTGACCTTGGGATTGTTTTGAGCGGCACTGTCAAGAGCTTTGAAGATCTGCTGCTGTACCTCGTAGGCATGCTTCAGTGCCGCCTGGGCCTGCGTGAAGAGAATTCCAATGCTGTAGTTAGCCTATGGGGGAAGCGAGTCTTGGAATATGCGCAGCATCTTACGTCGGGGGAGTTCATATACTAATAGTATGTGGGTTAGCCTCCTGCTTCTTTTCTTCCACCATTTGCACATGGGTTGCCAGTAATACGTACAGGAAGAAGCGATTGATCTATGTTATTGAGATATGCAAGCCGCACGGACGGGCTCGCCTTGTTCCATCTGTCGTCGCCGATGACATTCGTGTGGATCGCCCACGCCTAGGCAAATCGTCAGCCAGCCGACTCGACGGAAGTCACTTTACTCACGGATGTCTTCAAGGAATTCGTCTGAGCATCGCAGATCATCAGGTTCTGATAGTCGGCATCGCCCGATTTACTCCCAAGGGCATGGTAAATCGCCCTGAGACCATTAGCCTGAAAGTATTACCCCCGCTTGGTGTTGGGAAAGAAACATACTCAATCGGCGTGTCGCCGTCTAAGCCAGCAGGCTGTGCAACTCCAAGGTCTTCCCACGTCCAGTGCACGTACCCGGTGTCACCAAAGACTGAACAGCATTAACGTAGGTATCTAGCATGTGTGCCTAACGGGAGGTAGACCCACCGTCTTCCCAACTATATCCACTCGAAATTCCCTGGGGAATGCTTTTATCCGGATATTTGTTATCGATCATCGACTGCGCAAATTGTGCCGGCGTTTGCAGCTCCGTGACATGTTCAGTGACATATTTGCCTGTGTTTTTCCACCCCCGGAAATCAGAGTCACTTTCTTTCAATCTTGACAGGTGCTACCATGGACACTTACGAGCTAACTTCCGTGCCTGAAAAGCAGCGGCGTTTTTCAAGCAAATAGCGGTAGCCTTCCCTGCGCCATTGGCCCAGAACTGTCTCCCTTTGCCGGCGAGTTCGGCGACGGTATAATAGGTCGAGGCAATGAACTTTGTTCGTCGATTTCGCGGGAGTTTAACGACCGATGAACGCACACGGGCGCGTTCGACTAGATCCGGGTGCTTGGAAATCCGGCTGACTCTCCCACTGTATTCCCAGGACCGACGCACTTCGTCCAGAAGCGCCTGAACCTCGGGAAGGTCGGGCTCCAAAGCAAAGAAGCAGTCGTCCGGTGTACTGCATATCTGCGGCAGAGTCCGGTTGTCCAGACTAGAACCTGTGTCCCACTGACGGTTGATTCTTAGCGCCTGCAGCTCATCGAGAATGCCCACCCCACGCTTCATGTTATCGGGCGAGGCGTCGTTGGGCACCACAAACACATCCTCTTCGTACCTGAATTGAGGAATGTTATCTCTCCGATTCCCTGGGTAGAGGATGATGCTTTGAGGAACGTCAAACTTACCACCAGAGTTCTAGAATGTCCGCGGGGTTACCATCATCATCATAGTTGTTCTCCTTGGTGTCTTGAATACTAAGCACATAGTCGCCATCGGTGCTCTCGCAGAAGTTCAAATTACTATCACTGTCGGGCTAGAGGATGTCAGCGGTGCGAAGCACAGCAGATCAATATCGCTTACAGTATCTTCAAGGGGGATATCGCAGCAGTAGAAAGCGGACCCACTATCACAGAAGCTGGTCTGTGAGGGATCTTGGGCGATAATCTAGGCTCGTTAGTAGCTGGTCCAATTCATCGGATAATCATGACTGTGTTACCTGCTTTCCAGCCGGACACCCTGTCGGACAAGTGAAAGGGTGTAGCCAAGGATGTGCCTTTGATGTCCTAATCATACACAGTTCAGCGATCCTATAGCTCCTGGCGCTCCAAGGGGGTGAGGTTATTCTTACCATCCACATCCCGTAAAGGGAGGAGGTTTGGTACAGCAGAAGGATTTGTAGCCTGAAACGCAATACTCTTCACCACCAGCACCCAACGAATCGTATGTCTCTTCGTAGCGGTCGGATTCGTCGCATCCGTAATGCTCGCCTACTCTCCCGTGCTTGCCACAGAAGGGCGCAGCTCCCTCCCATTCTAGCGACGTATGTGAGCTCAGATGATCGATTGCACAGGGTTGGAGCTACCCGGGGAAGACTCACTGCACTGTCCTATACCGGCATCCGACTTTGTTGAAGTGCAGCACAGCACCTTATGGCCTGTCCAGCACTCGGCGCCTGTACCACTGGTGTCCGACGAGACTTGCACCTCGCCTGAATGGCATTCTCCGCCGCAGAAAGGCGCACGTCCACGCCATTGGCATGTTGGCATATCCTGGCCTTTCGGGCAGCAATAGTTCCTGGTCACGCCATCACTACAACCCGTGTAGATGCCTGCATTTCCGCGGTCTTTACCATCGCTTCGCTGTGCTGGGAGAGACTTATCCGGACAGTCTTTTCCACACTCGCCCCAGATACAGGCCGAGAGGACATCCTCCTGCTTGGGATTCGCCCCGCCCCCGAAGAGGCTACGAGCGACCAGTCCGTTGTTCTTGATATATGCCTGGGCCGCAGACCCTACCGTGTCATCGGTAGATGCAGCCCAAACCATAGTACCGCCCAGGCATTTGCCATTGGCGTAGTCGGTCTTCAACTTGAGTGTCTCCGCGTCGTCAAATGACACCCATTGGTTATTATCCCAGACGACCTGTTTCACTGCTGCATCCTTGTCCAGGGTCGCCTTTGCTCCAGCAGTCAGGATGTCTTGGATTTCCGAATACATGAGCGTCTAATCTCTCGTCAGCAGGTCTGAATGTTTCTGGCGAGGACGTACTGGAAGGGGGAGGGGACCAACCCCGGCACTGGCAGAGCATTTTCCTGGGTTCCCTCCTCCACTGAATGGACAGCCGGGCTGAGTGCAGGATGGGTCAGAAAGCGTGAAGCTTCGGCCGTAGAAGCCCAGGCCCATTACAATTTTATCCGGATCAACCTGTCATTCCATCAGCTACTGCCGCGTCGAAGCTCAATTCACTTACCTTGTTTCTCCAGAACAGGTCCATGGTCAGATCGATCTCCGTGAGATTAGTATGGGCATTGACAATCGGCCCGATAAACTTGTCTGTGGAGTCCCATGTGCCGTGTAAATCGTATGTCATCACGTTAAACCAATCCACCACCTTCTCAATTGCCACAATGTCGAAGTTTTGCATATACCTAGGATGGAAAAAAAGGGTTAATGCCCACAGATATCTTTCATCTGTTCGACTGCATTGAACTGGGGCCATACCAATAGCTGGAAGGGACTGTGATCGTCAACCCGTAGTTGTGGCCACTGCCTCCCAAAGCCGAGCGAAGATTTTTTAAAAACGAGACATAATTCTGGAAGTCTTGTGGTTTCCCAGACCTTTCAGTTGCAACGGGGTACTCCCAATCGATGTCAACGCCGTCGAATCCCCATGTCTGAAGGAAGGAGATCAGCGAGCTGAAAAATGTCGATTGGGCACTACTGGATCCCGCCAGGTCCGAGAAGGTTGTGGCCGTTGGCTGATCTGGGTCATTCATTGACCATCCGCCAATCGAGATCCACGTCTGTAGCCCGGGGTTTGAGTCTTTGAGGCCCGTGAAACGTGAATACAGCTCGGTGTCGGCCGCACTCATGGGGGCAACCTTGAATGACTTGGGATCAATAAAGGCAAAGGCAAAGTTGAGATGTGTGTAGGCGCCAACAGGGATTTGTTCAGGCATCACTGTACTGTCTTTTAGCCCGTAGCACCCAGCAACGCTCTCCATCTGGAACGACTTACTTCCATAACATGCTCGGGTATTGGACCATCCTTCATAGTATCCTGGGTCAATTAGCAGGCCACGTCCTCGCAGGGGTGAGTGGTCATCACAACACACCGACAGATCTTTTGTTGGAGCTACGATCGTCAGTGAGTCTATGGTTCAAGTATCAACCCCAGAATGCCTTCCTACCTGCTTCCAGAACATGACGGCTTGGTAACTGTCTTGTTGCCGCAGAAGTCTTTGGTGGTTCCGCAGAAACCAAACTTACTGCAGCACACGTTCAGGGGGCATTTCTCCTTCTGAGACCACTGGGCGCCCCATCCAGGATCACATTCACTTTGTTTGCGAAAGAAGTTATGCACTCAGCGCTTGTAATTTGTCTGTGGGCTTGGGGTTTGCCATTCTTACCTTTTCTGATCGCACGAGGAGATGCAGCTCTTACCACAGAAGTCAGGCCCCAGTCCACATACTCCTGTGTTGCTGCAGCATCCTATCTTGCAGGGCTTTGTAGCCGAGCTGAATGACCATCAGCTTCAATGTTTGTGATCAGTGCGATTTGAGCTACCTACCATGTATAATCCGTGGCGGATGCCGGGTCCTGCGACGTCAATCCCCAAACAACGGACGCGAAGGCTGCCAAAACTATGCTTATTCTCATCGTGAGAGAAACAAAATCACCGTTCGAGGTAGCGTTCGCTTGATCGGATGAAGCATTCGACCATTCGGAAAGCCATCCATCTTATTATCATTTCCAGCCCGCCAAGATCTTACTGCAGATGGGAGGCCTAATATGGACGCTGACAATGTAACGCAGCCCAACCCCGTGCAGGCATTCCGTTCGATTGTTGGTTTCTGCCTTGAAGCATTGCAGAATAATGCCATAATCCCTGTCAATTTCTGGTCATCCGACTCGAATGATGTTACACTGAAGCAAGTGATGAAGATGACCGTCATCCGCTAAGCTTCTCCAAGAGAGGGGTGCAAAAGTCTATGAGTCCGAGCAACATAAGACGGCAAGAAGAGCTGAACATCAAGATGAGACTTGATTCTGCAACTGCTATTTTCTTCTCCCCAGGATGATGATTCCGCCAGAAACGAAGATGCACTTGATTTCCTCGTCACGGCTTCTCAGCCTCATAGTCTTTGCGTTGTTCTCGAGCCGCGCACTCTCCGATATCGTGATCTTCGATCCGGGACTAATTGCAAATAGCAGTGATACCGCGGCAGATGGATCACTGGCCCCAGGATGCATCTCCGCCATGGAAGCCACCATTGCTTGTGACCCGTACCTTCGGCTGCAGGTAATGGCGGATGCATTTAGCTATATTGATTCCACGGTTCGTAACACCATATGCACTACATCTTGCTCCCAATCGCTATCCAACTATCATGCTGCGGTCCAGAAGGCGTGCGCCGGGAGTCCGCAGCCCTGGGCAGATACGCCAGCAACCCTGTATGGGGACCAGCTCTGGGCGCAATACAATGTGTCCTGTTTCAAAGACTCCAAGGGAAATTATTGCCAAGGTGTTTATAAATCTAGGAGCAACCGGGCCAGGGAATCAAGATTACTGAATAATCTCTTAGATGTTCTCGCGAACCTCACGCTTCCGGCCGGTGACACCTCTATGGCCAGCCTACCCAAGAGCGTGGTGTGTTCGGAATGCCTACTCCTTCTGGGTCGATTGATCCAATCCACTCCATTCAGCAATTACAGTCCGCGAATGGCCAAGGAATGGGCTGCCATTCAAGCGACCTGCGGCGTATCCTATCCGACCGCAGTCCAGCCTGTGACCGGCAACCGGACAGACTTGCCCGGATACGCGCCCCCGGGTTATGCGACGGCCCAATGCTTGACCGGGAAGACATATACCGTGGTCTCGGGCGATGACTGCGGGAAAATCGCCTCAAAGCAGGGTGTCCCTCGGGGGTCACTGATGTCCATGAATAATATTCTCCCGGATTGTTCCGATCTCCAAAGTGAGAGATCCGTAGAGCTACAGTAATGGACGAACATGAGCTAACGGCTGTCCAGTTGGACAGAAACTTTGTATCCCAAACACCTGCCAGCTGTACACGATCAAGTCGGGGGATACTTGCATGCAGATTACCAATGCATCAAGTATCACATTGTCCCAGCTTCGCGCTTGGAACCCTTTCCTTAACGATGGTTGCAGCAACCTCATTGCGGGGGATCAGATCTGTGTTAGCCAGCCAGGCGCTGTCTGGACGGGCACAACCATCCCTGGCGCCACAGTCACCAAGACTGGCATTTATGCTACAGCAACTGTCGCGCCGCCAGGGCCCGTGGCCTTTGGCACAACTCCAAAATGTGGCAAGTAAGTAGCTTTGACCTTTCGTTGTTTTGCCTCGCCCTGTTACAGGACTAAAAATCTCAAAATATTCTAGGTATTATCAAGTCAACGAGGGGGATTACTGCCAGCTCATTGCTCTCAACTTCACCATCACCGTTTCACTATTTGAAGCCATCAACCCGCAAATTAACGCGGGATGCTCAAACCTCAGCCCTGGGCTATATTACTGCGTTCTTCCCACAGCAGACTGGAACCAGACTACGACCACGACCACGTCAAGCTATCAGACCGCACCGGCACCCACGCCCAGTGGGACTACCGCAAATTGTTACGAGGTAAGGTGATAACCTTGGAAATCCTTGGAGACTCGCACTCACTAACCTGGCCCCAGTGGTATGTGGTACAATCGGGCGACTATTGCGCCAAGATCGAATCGGTGTATGGGATTACTATGGCACAGTTGCAGCAGTGGAATCCCGATCTCAAGGCTGACTGCTCGAACCTCCAGCTGAATGATGCCTACTGCGTACATGGAGATCCTGGCGGTACCCCTGCTGGCAAGATGGCTGTCCGAGTTCGAGCGTTTCCCACGTCGCCATAATCATACAAGGAATATGGAGGAAATATGGCGGAACTGCAAAAAGTCATAACTAATAGTTTTCATTAAATGAGGTTAGTTTTAGGGGTAGGGAAACCATAACCAGTACAGTTCCCTAGGCTAGGCACTGTGAGTTTGGTGAGGATTGGATTTGATTTTAGTGGTTCAGTTATGCTACTCTAGTTTTGTTATTCTAACACATTTAGAAAAGATAGTAATTCCTGGCATCTCCAGTCTAGTTTCATCTTGATGGGTTATTATAGTACTAGAGGTGTCAGGTTTATTACCTCCAGGGCTAGCACGTAAGAAAGATCCATTATTTACAGTATCTTAGCTAGTAGGAATTAGGTATATATTTTCACATATGTACTGCATACTCTTATATATTTTATTATAGGTTAGATAATAACCTAGTGCTATACTAAGGTAGGCTATAACGGCCTAGGTAGTCGCTAGAAGGCTATAGATTATAAGTATATACTATACTATACCTCATGCCTGAATTTGGCCCCTGCAAATGCTTGGGTGTTGAGATATCAAGGCCTTGGAAAGTGCCATTTTATATGGAAATGGAATACAGAGCTCACTACGGCGGACTTCTGCCTAGGGCCTATCCAGCATGCTTATAGAAAATTAATCTTTTTATATGAAATGTAGAGTAATTATAGTTATTTTAATTTATATCTAGGGGGTTGAATAGGTGGTAATTAAGAATTATTCCTAAATTATAGCAGTTATTAAAAGGGTAATATGCATGTATATATATTACTATTACTTTTATACTAACTACCATACTAACAGAGATGATTATTCCCTTATATCTCTAGAACCATAAGATATTGAATCATCATCTAGTAGGGATATCGAATGCCATCTAGTATCGATATTGAATCAATATCGAATGTCATCTAGTAGGGATATTGAATACCATCTAGTATCAATATCGAATCAATATCGAATGTCATCTACTCACTTAGACGACTGAGCATGGACCAGTCAGAGCCATAGACCCTAGCCAAAAGATGCCCATAAGCGTCCATTCCATAGTCACATCTCACCGGCCCTTCTTGAAAAGTAGCCATGAAATCAAGCTGGCCGTTAGCAGCCACTTGTCTTCAGGGACTTCCACACATTTCCGCCACTACATACTTCTACTCCTGCCGCCTATGTCCGAAGCCGAAGGTCCTTCAAGTGTCGGAGATAATGGTGGGGATGGCCTGGCAATCTATTGCTTGTTGATCCAAGACGTGGGGACGGCCGATCACAATCTCGCTTGCTTGTTGGCAGACTTGGCATTTTGATTCTGACTCTACGATTGGGAGATTATCCTGCCGAGGAAATGAAGGATTGAAAGGTGAATGGAAACTAAACCAAGATAAGCCAAGGAGGCCGAGTTAGAATCAGACAAGACAATCATGTCCGAACGTCCCCACTGCTTCGTGGGGAGTGCAAGTCCTGGATAATCAGATAATTAATTGGCTTGTAGCCTAGACGGGCGAACGTCTTCAAGATTCTTGGAATGGGCATCTCGGATATATAGGTACCCTGCCACTTTCGCCCGCATCAGATGGGCCTTTGCCTGCTACAAACCAAATCAAATCCGACACAATGCGGTCGTATACTTTTATCCTGGCGGTTCTGGGACTACTGGATGCTGAGGCCCTTGCCTCATGCCCCTATGCTTCGCGGATAGGCGTGGACTCAAAGGCTATGCCGCTGCCCCCCAGTCACCCAGCGCGGGACCTCACTGCCTCGCATGGCAAGAAAGGCATCTTCCTGATGAACAGAATTGCCCCTGGCACCTCCCAGCTCTATATCGCAGATGCCGACGGCCGTAACGAACGACCCCTTCTCTCGGACCCTATCTACGAGTACCATGCGACCTTTTCGCCCGACGGACAATGGGTCACCTTCACTGGCGAGCGCAACGGAGACGGTAACGCGGATATCTACCGCGTTCGGACAGATGGTTCAGATCTTCAAGAGCTCGTGGCCACGCCTTCGTTCGAAGACTCGGTTGTCCTCTCCCCGAACGGCAGTCTGGCCGCCTACGTCTCAACCGCCAACGGTTACAAGGCCAATATCTGGGTTATGGATCTGGAGACGGGCAAGCGCTGGAATCTGACTGATACCGCAGCTACCGTCGCCGATCCTTCCCGAATGAATGGATACTTCCGACCAGCCTGGTCACCAGATGGCGAGTGGATTGCCTTTTCGTCGGACCGCAACGTGCAATGGGACGGCCACGGGGATGAGACCTTCATGGGACTCAGCGGGTGGGAGCACACGCAGGAGCTGTCGATCTACGCCGTCCGACCGGACGGATCTGGCTTCAGACAGATCACGACCAAGCCGGGCTATGCGCTGGGGTCGCCCAAGTGGTCCCCTGACGGCAAGCGCATCGTCTACTACGAGATGACCCGTCAGGCGACCTGGGACTCTCACCGTCCTGAATCAATTGCTTCTGCCAACTCAAGCATTGTATCCGTCGACTTTGCCACAGGAACAGATCGTAGAGTTGAGGTGGAGGGGTCCGGCGTCAAGATCTTTCCGCAGTACATCTCCAACGAGGAGATTGCGTACCAGATCAAGGGCACTACAAAGGAAGGCTTATACAGCACAGCCGGATCATACTGGAACACCACCAGCAACACATCCGTCTCCATTCGCTCGCCCGCCTGGTCACCAGACGGCAAGAAGGTCGTCTACGAAAAGACTACATGGGTCATCCGGCCTATGGAGAAGAAGCTCTACAGCTGGGACTCAGACTGGGAGTACCGCTTCACCGACGTTTTCCCCCAGCTGTCCCAGCGGGACCGGCTCGCCATCACCCAAAAGCAGCTTGGCAACTCGTCCATCGTCACCATGTCACCGACCGGGCAGAATGCCCGTCTGGTCTTTGACGCGTTGCACACAGATCTCGTCGACGCAACGCTGGTCGGCCACGGACTAGCGGGTGCCTTCCAACCCTCCTGGTCCCCCGACGGCCAATGGCTCGTCTTCGGCGTCGGCTCCTGGTTCCAGGATCGCGCACAGTACGGCGCATGGCTAGCACGCGCCAGTGCGAACGGCACTTACGCTGAACTGCTAACCACCAGCAGTGCCGATCTCACCAGCAACTCCACGGCAGTCAACTCCGGCTTCCCCAGTTTCTCCCACGACGGCAAGAAGGTCGTCTATCGTGTCTGGGGCGCGAAGTCAGCTCAGGGCGACAAGTCCCAGCTCGGCCTGCGCATCCTGGACCTCGAAACTCGCAAGGTCACCGTCCTCACCACAGGATGGGACAACCTCCCCTTCTTCTCACCGGACGGTGAACGCATCGTCTTCACCCGCAAGACGAACGCAACCAACTACGACGTCTTCACCATCCGGCCGGATGGAAGCGATCTGCGCGTGCTGACGAGTAGCGGCGCCAACGATGCTCATGCGGCGTGGACGCATGATGGAAGAATCATGTACTCTACCGGCATGTATGGGTTCCGCTATGAGTGTGCCTTGTACGACAATACGTTCCAGCCCTACGGCCAGATTATGATCATGGATGCGGATGGAAAGAACAAGCGCATGCTTACGGATTCGATGTGGGAGGATTCGATGCCGCTGTTCGTGCCTAATTCGGCTCTGCACCGGTAAATGTATGGGTCAGGACGATGATATTGTTGCGTGGCCTGAATACACGGCGTTGATACCATATTGCATGTGGAGAACATGTGGGGAATAGCATATGGTCCTAAGACACTGAGAAATACGATCCAATTGGAGTCTCTCTGCCCCGTCCTTTGGAATATATTTTCCGGCTGTTGCTTCCCTTTACCCCTGTTGCGGGCCTGGCAAAGGGTAAGACCCCACATGCAGTCATAAGCCATCTTGGGAATACTTCGGATGTGGACGTTGGGGAAACCTGGAGTTGCGGGGTGGCCAACTAGTTCTGTCCATACAATGCAGTGCTACCGTTGATCATGGACAGTTTGTCTGTGTCCAAGCGGAATCGGACTGAAATGCGACTGGACTATGCCTGGAGCTATGAAAATGGTATAAGAGGGGCGTCTCCGGTTGCAAGCTATGCGTGACTTGAGTCCATACCACTTGAACAAAATGAAGGCTATATTTTCATGGTTTGTTATACTCCTGGGCGCTGCCGAGGCACAGCAGCTGTATATCACAACGACTGGCTATCCTGATCGTCCACAATGCACGCAGCCAGCTTCCTCCCCGGAGTACTGCTTTCACCCGTTCTCGTATACTCTAAATAAGACAGTTCGGTGGGAGACACATGCCTGTAGTGGATCAGAAGAGTAACTATGCTAATGATTACAGGTTTGCGACTTCTGTACCGAGGCCCACGACCACGCATACTTATGGCCTAATTATGCTCATGCCGTGAAACATCTCAGCCCCATTCCAGCAACGACAACATGGGGCAATTGGTTGCTTAATCAGACCGTCATCACGGCCAGAGACACCACAGACCCTTATGGACAAGCCGCCTGGTCAAGGCTGTGGCAGCAGGCCAGCATCGAGAACTATACGACGACCGGTCTGTACTCGACGACCGTCAGTCCGACGCCGGTGCCGAGCAGTTCACTGGTCCTGCCGCCGGCCAACTACTTTGGCCCGACGGACTGCTATAGCTTTCCTGATGACTTCGTATTTGGAGTCGCAGGTAGTGCTGCGCAGGTCGAGGGTGCAGTGGGCTTGGAGGGCCGCAGTCCGACTATCCTAGAGAAACTAGGCAACACGACGCAGCCAAAGGACTACGTGACGAACGAGAACTACTACTTGTACAAGCAGGATATCCAACGTCTGGCGGCCATAGGCGTCAAGTACTACAGCTTCTCCAATCCGTGGACGCGCATCCTCCCTTTTGTTCTACCCGGGACCCCAGTAAACGAGCAAGGCATCAAGCACTATGATGATCTGATCAATACTGTTCTAGACGCTGGCATGCTGCCCATCGTAACCCTTCTTCATTTTGACAGCCCCTTGATGTTCGTCGACGGCGGCAACTTAGCCAAACCAGATATTGGCTACAGCAACGGAGGCTACCAAAACGAGACATTTGTCGACGCCTTTGTCAACTACGCCAAAATCGTCCTTACGCATTTCGCCGACCGAGTCCCCATCTGGGTTACATTCAACGAGCCCCTCCTGTACTCATTCAATTTCAAAGGCGCCGATAACGTCGTGCGCGCGCACGCGCAAGTATACCACTTCTACCACGACGTCCTAAAAGCAACCGGCAAGATGGGCATCAAGTTCAACGACAACTTCGGCGTGCCTCGCGACCCGCGTAACGCCAGCGACGTGCAAGCCGCGATCCGCTTCCAGGAAATGCAGCTGGGCCTCTTCGCGAACCCGATCTTCCTCGGGAAGCAGTACCCGGATTCCATCCTGGAGACCCTCCCCGGTGCCAAACCGCTCAGCGAGCAGGACCTGTCCTATATCGCGAACACGTCTGATTTCTTCGGCATCGATCCATACACTGCGACTGTGGTCTCCCCAACCCCGGAAGGGGTTGAAGCGTGCGCAGCCAACTCCTCCAGCAAGCTGTTCCCGTATTGCGTGGTGCAGGAAACGAAGACCAGATACGGGTGGAACATTGGCTACCGCTCGCAGAGCTACGTGTACATCACCCCAACCTACCTGCGGGAGTACCTCAACTATCTGTGGAACACGTTCCGCAGCCCGGTCTTCGTGTCGGAGTTTGGGTTCCCTGTTTTCGGGGAAGCCGAGAAGAGCGACCTGTCAGATCAGCTATTTGATACCCCGCGGAGTATTTACCATCTTTCATTCATGTTGGAGATTCTCAATGCAATTCATGAAGACGGGGTGCGGGTTATGGGGGCGTTGGCCTGGTCGTGGGCGGACAATTGGGAGTTTGGAGACTATAAACAGCAGTTTGGGCTGCAGGTGGTTAATCGGACGACGCAGGAGCGGTATTACAAGAAGAGTTTCTTTGATTTGGTGGATTTTGTGTCGTCCAGGATGGCCAAGTGAGACGTCTGTCAGGTTGTACGAAGCAAACATGTCAGCTTTGCCGTCGACAGAGTGGCCCACACAAGCATTTGAATAAGTCAGTTTATTACTATTGGTTATTCTATGATCTGGTATTCACAAGTATAAATAGGGTTCTAAAATATACTTCAAGTAAACTCAACAGCTCTTAACCCATCGCTCGATATCATCCACAGCAGCCATATGCACACTTCCTCCAATATCATACTCGGCCGGAGTACACTTCCCCTCCCCCGGTACAAACAAGTGATTTAACTTCTCATACAGCCTAAAGTGGACATTCTGACGATCCTGGAACTTTGCATAGAACGCCGCATAGTCCTCGTTGACGGTAGCCTGATAATCCCGTGCACCCTGCAGAACCAAGACAGGACACTCTGATCTCTGCAGGGACTGAATTGGATCGAATTCACGATATTCAAGCCAATATGCAGGGCCGAGACCAAATGGTAGTTGGCTTGCTGGTGTTGATGGGGTCAAAGATGGATCATCTGCAAGCTCTGCTTGTTTTTCCAGCACCTTAATTGTCTCAATTGTATTACTTAGCTCATCGCTGGAAGGTTGGCCACCACACTCGTCGAGACCCTTGAAATACCGCAGTTGTTGAATAGCACACCTGTACAGCGGTTGCGCCGGACACGCCATAAGAACACAGCCTGCTACTGAGGGCTCAGCTGTTGCAAGGCGAGCAGCGATTAACCCGCCCAAACTATGGCCCAGGAGGAATATCTTGCCGTGATCGACGTTAGGATGTTGACGGACCTTGCGGATAGCATGCCTGACATGATAGATGTATTCATCTGTAAGCGAGGCTGTTGTGTTGCGCGTGAGGAATCTCCCAGCAAGCGTGCATGTAAACTTGTCGAACCGGCAAGACGCAATACCGCGACTTGAGAGACCAAGAGCCATGTCCTTGAATGGTTTCAGGGCGCCAATGGTGGAGTCTTTGTCCATGGGGCCGGAGCCGCCGATGAATACGATACAGGGGTATTTCTGGCAAGACCCAGCAGAGGCTGGTAGGGTTAGTTCTGCTGCTACTCTGTACAACGCCTTGCCGAGCGTGAGAGGGACGCAAGTGACACCCTCGGCTGCATAAGGTGGTGGCTGCCAGGGTGAACCCATGCCCGCTGCTTGCAATGTGAGGACTCGTAGACCGATGATTTTGCCGGAAGCTGTCATTTGAAGTGACAAGACAAGAGACACGCGACTGAACCGGGGGGATACTTTGGCAGTAAGGACGAACCAGCCCACTGTGACGGTGGGATGACCAGTTTGTTGAAGAGGGCCGCAACTAGTGAGAATCGCCCTCAATTGGTTTGCTAGAAATGATTCAGAGAAGGACCATCGCAACGGAGCAACGCATTGCTAGTGCAGATTCCTCCACTCGTGCCGTTCAAGGTAGCCAACCATCCGGGATGCATGCTGTTCGGCATGGACGAGTATGGCTTTCCTTTCTTGTTCCCTTCGCCTGAAGTAGCTAACAGACCGACAAAAACTTAGATACAGGTTGTATAGCCACATGTTAAAAGCATGGGGTTCTTGAATCTAGAGGACTATAGACAGGATGAGACCGGTTATTTAGGGGCTACCTCTGCCAACCCCGCGTGCAAGGATAAATTACCATCACACTAGGGCCATGTCTAACCAGTCAACGATGGCAATCAAGATTGAGGTTCAAGTCTAGTCCAGGTTTTAGATATAGATCGAGTAATATGACTTGATGGACCTGAATATCTAGGTACAGTAGGAGTAGGAATATAAAACGTGCCAAGAGGAGCAAGAGACATGTTCGCCTGCAAAAACAGTATTTATACAATGGGCTGTCCCTGCAGCCAGCATTACCACTGTGCTGGTAAGACCCATTTGATATATATATTACGATCAGCATAGATCCTGTACTACCTGGGGTTATCCATCTGGCAATGACGCTTGTTTTCCATATTCCTTTTATTTCCAAGCTCTGGCTAGGCAATCAGGCAGACAGTGTTGCCTCAGGCAACTGTTGCAGACTAAACCTCTCCACCAACATGCTAGCCTGACTTTCCCGATCGGGGATTCGTCAAAAGGCCATAAACTAAAGGGACTAGGATGCTTGGCAAGCACCGCACCAGGCAACACCCCGCTTGGCCGCTTGGTGCCTGGACCTTCCTGCGCCTCAAAACTCCATCGCCCCTTTCTATCGCATCCTGTTCGCACTTCGCAACACGGACGTCAAAATGGCGAGCGGAACGCGGCCATATTCACACACGAATTTCAACAATGTGTCAATGAACAGTGTGCTCACCAAAGTACACATCGAGAGCCAAGAGCTGGAAATCGGTAGGTTACTGTCTGCAGGACGCGCCGGATCACCGGATGAGCCTCATGCTAAGATCCACTTCCAGTCGATCGCCTTATTGAGCCGCAGACCATAGCACATTTCTTAGAGTTTGCGGTGGAAGGTCCCCTTCCCAATGGCAAGGAATGCGATCTTGTGCGTATGACCGCGGACGAGATCCCGTTGGCGCAGACGAGTCCAGATCCGGATGCCGATCAGACCGTCATCATTGACCGGGTGATGAATCGCATTGGGTCCATGCAAGATGGGGATCGGTTGTGCTGCGTTGGGAAGAATATTCATTCCCTGAAGAACAGATTGTGGGAGGGCATTGTCCCGTTCTGTGAGCAGCGATGGACGGAGAAGGGCCTCGACAAAGAAGATAATTTCGACGTAGCGTGTCAGCATCTGTCGGCTGTTTGCGCGGCATTTGAGTATTTGAATCAGCCCAAAGTGATGGCAAACATGCGCGACACGTTCAACCTGATCTGGGAGCATTGGCAGGAGTTAGAAGTTTTGCTGAATCGACAGCGTGCAGAGAAGCAGCAGCCATCTGTGAGCGTGACGAGCCTGTGGACGGCATACATGACAGCCCATCTTGAGGTCATGACGGAGCGAGCACACCGCTGGGTGACGGTCAAAGTCAGCGCCCTTCGGGCTCCATTACTCACCACGCTGCGTTTGCATCGTCCCGTGGATCTGGACACGGTGGACAGGATCCAGTGGCGGACCACCGACGCACTGCACAAGCTGGCCGAAATCACCAGCGTCGCCGACTACGGCATTCTTATTTCAATGGAGGGATACAAGGGCTACACTGCACCGGCCGTCCCGTCGAATATCCCTCCCACCCTTCGTTCAACAGTTTGGTCCCAGCGTGGAGGAACATACTCGCGGAGGCTCAAGCAGGTCACACACACAGCGCGATATCAGAGCATAATGCAAGCGCGCGCGAGGGGCGAGGCTCATCACATTGCCGATCCGGTGTCACTGCACCAGGCGTGCCTCGACCAGATCAATAGCCAGCATCAGTTGCGACGAGAAGTGCGCGGCAACCCGGTTGAGCCGGTACCCCGCGAGCCATGGATTACGAAGTTGTTGTATTGGATCCAGAATCGGAACGATCGACGTCGGAGTTTCGGACTGGCCATCTACCGGCTGACGTACAAGCAGAGCGATGCTGAATGGAACGCGTGCAAACAGAAAATAGAGCAGCACATTGCGGACTGGGGTCGCGGACAGACAGGCTCGAGTGCGATCAAGCCACATCTGAAGCTGCACTGGATGGATGGGAAGGATTTAGGAATTCCAGAAGGAGACGTCGAGGGCGCAAGAAAGTGAGTTCTTTCCGAGATTGATTGTCCGAATTCTAACATTACAGACACTTCAATGATCTCGGTTCGGCATCATTAGATGCCGAAGACCAGATAAATAATCGAGTATTTCTCGTAGTCGACGAGCCCAGTGTCGCCTCATACACGAGCTCAAACTACTCTTCCGCCCTGCTTACCACGCGCGATGGAGACTTTGCAGGTTTCGTCCTAGCCGTCGACGCCGAGTGGGATTCAGCCGAGGGTCCCGATCGTCCTGATGAATCCCCAGGGTACCACGGACAGATGCGAATCCTGGGCAGCCTGGTCTGGGGAGATCTGTACGCCATGCATGCATCACAATCCGCCTTACTAGAAGATCTGTGGCCTCTTGCTCTCGACCATCCGAACACAGTCTACGTCGGGCCCGTCGTACCCGAGGAGATCAGGGGCTGGCGGCTCCAGAACGGCTTGCGCAATATGTGTCTGCGAACAGTAGCCGACTACGCACACAAGAAGATCAACGGGACGCCGTTTCCTGTTGCTCCGGTGCAAACCATTCCAATGCGCGCTGCCAACGCAGGAACTGGGACTGCAGGCCCCTCCAGCTTGGCAAATAATGCTCCTCAGTCGGCGCAGGGTCAAGAAGACAATGTGCTGCGGTCATACATGATGCGGGCATTCCAACGACATTTGCAAAGGAATAATCATCACCGAGAAGCGGCGGTGGTCGGAGAGATGCTGGCTACTCCTCCAAACCAGAGGGTCGATATGGAGCGGGTGCGACAACGCATGGAGCAGGGTCAGGCTAATCCCGCGCCGCCTTTGAGTCTAGAGGAGGAAGAGCAGTTGGAGAGGCAGGAGTTTGAGAGGGAGTTTTGTCCGCAGCAATAGTTGATCTTGGTGGCTTATGTTCTTCTCCTTGTGTGCGCATCAGGTGGGATATTACGTGAATAGCTGTTTAGCGACCACCATTCTTTGCTGTTACAGTTTCACTTGGAAATTTGAGAATCTGTCGGGTAGGTGCGAACAATACAGCACAATGGAAATAAGTAATGGAAGACTCAGGGCATGGTTGCGGAGTGCTTGAACCAAATGTGTGCTCCCTGGATTGAAGTCTCTGTGAACTCGACCTGATATTAAAGTTTCGCCCCTGGTATTCATGAATGTGGACACCGACTCAATTATTAAAATTAAAGAAAAAATCCAAAGTTAGAAGTTCCCCAAAAAGACTCCATTCCGTATACACGCATTCCTGACTTGGCATCCACCAGTGTCAGCGCCGGCGAGATACAGAAGATCTTATCTAGGCTGTGGACTAAGCTTGGAGGATTTACCGTGGCGCTGGTAGATCTAATCCATTGCCATGGAACCAAACAATTTGTTCATTCCAATCCCTTTTGCATGAGGCAGGGACAATACCTGACTTGTCATGGTCGGAGCCGGATCGGAGCCGTGGGACGGTGGATTCTGGGATAAAAGTTGACTTTATTATTGGTTTACGGATCGTAAGGTACAGACTTACAGTACCTCAAGTCTTCAACTCTATCAGGCTCAGGGATCATGATGATTGCTGTTCAAGATCTACAGTCTGTGCGTAAGTGATTTCCACTTTCCTTTTCATGAGACCCCCGCCGACATCATTATGACGCGCCCGTCAGGCTAGAACAAACCAACACGTATCAATTGATGCTATTCATTCCCCTACCCCTCCGGAGAAGCATTAGCAGGTACGGAGGTTCCTTCCAGCCAATCAGTGCTTCGGCAGCTCCTTACTAGTGCAGAGGATTGATGTCACCAATGCTGACCTAATATGGCAGCAATAACAATCATGTTTTGCGGTCTGACCTCGCGCGCTTTACAGCTTCAACCCTTTAACAATACTTTTTGATATGTTATGGAGTTTGAAGATGCACAAAGGCTTGAGCAGTCGCGTTGTTCTGACCCCGCCGAAAACGTCTCAGGTTCATTGTTCGGTAAAGAATCAACGGAGGGACAACAATCTGAGGAAGCGCCCTCGTCCAAGGTTGCCATCCCGCGACTCGCTCCTCCTAGAACGACTGGCAATCGTCGCATCAGGACGGCATGTGCGGCATGCAGGGAACAAAAAGCCAAGTGTAGCGAATATCGCCCATGCGTTCGCTGCGTCAGTTTCGGCATCACTTGCACGTCGCTCGAAAGTAAACGCGAGAGTAGGGAAAGGTTAGTAGGAGACCTGGACCAGCTTGAACATTTGACTTAGTCTTGTATAGGCAAATCGAAGAGCTCGAGCAGCAGGTCGCTGCCTACGAAGAGTTGCTGGAACACCTCCGATCCCGGGTCGATATTCAAGACGCACAGCTTATTGCAAGGACTTTACATCGAGTAAGTCACGGTCCGCCCTCTCCGGTCGCCTTCTTTATTTTTGACAAATTTTCCATAGAGGAGCTCTATCACTAGGCCCCCATCCCCGGATCCGGTCAGCGCGACCCATTCTCCCTCTACCCAGCCTTCTTTTGCCGTGGACTATGTTGAGGAGGACTACCATCGGAACCAGCAACTGCTCGCGTTCG